TCTGATGATGCCGTGAAATAACAATGGTATTATAAAACAAACGTTGACTTGAACGAAATGTCGTTCTTTTTGTGCACATATTCTGTGAAATTTATCGCATAATTTGACCGAAAAAAGATACATTCAACGCATCGAAACTGCTGAAAATGGCGATAAGTCTAGATAGCATAAAAGCAAAAAGTTCCTTGCTTAATACAATCGTTACCTCGAATCTTAATGAAAATCCCAAAAAAAGTCATTTCTAGGAATGTGATCACATCATATTCGAAATCTGACTCCAAAATTGCAACACTTATCACCGTACCTGACAGTAAGAAACCAGAAGAAAAGAAACAATACATTAAGGTTTGATTATTTCGCTATTGTCATTTCGTCAGCGCCTCTCCTTGTTGTATATTTCTTATATTTCAATGAAGTCATTCGTTCAAAATGAAATCATCATATCGAAAGATATCCATGTTTTGGAAAAGATATCCTTATGCGATTTGAACAAATCTGAGCAATTCTAAGTGCAGAAAACCGATCGAAGTTCATAGGTACACATGAAGCTGTCGTTAATTGTAGCGTTAACCAGTTCAGTTCAGGTTTACGATCAACAGGAACACATCGAATTGTGTTGTACCGATGTGAGTTGCTCGAAAAAATTCGGCATCATTCACACTGATGGTTATTGACTTACTTACTTCTTGATTCAATGGATTGCTCTGTTGAGATTCGGTCGGTTCTCTTCTTCAACAACACAATGCATTTCATTGCAGAGGAATTTGGAGGCTTGAAATGGTCAAACGGTGAAGGACACATTCTGTTTACGGCCGAAAAACGCATCAAAATAGCGGAATATTTCGATAGTGGTTTGGAATGGGATAATGAGGAGAAAATTCTTGGATCCAACGTTGTGAGTGAGAATAATGCAGTCGTTCACAACGAGATAATCTCCTCTCGAATGTTTTATTTCATTGAACAATTGCCTTCTAATGAAAATTAAATGGCACCAAAAACAATTCAATCATGCATGCACTACACATAGCTTACTCTCAATCAAAGTCGATCAGTCAACGCAACTGTTTTGCTATCTGAATGTAAAGTAGTAGGCGTTCGAATCAAGCACAAAACACCAGATGTATGCCGTATGTACGATTCAGATGCTGAGAAAACTAATGAAAACCCATAGATTCCACTCGTTTT